TATAAAATTAAAATACAGTGACGGGTTGAGTCAACATAGCGGCTTAGCCTCAAGTCAATCTGCTGGATCCCACAGTTCTGTACATTTTAATTAAGAGTATGATGCCAAAAAAAACTAATAGAGTAATAATTACTGAAACATCAGGATTCGCAGTTGTCTCATTCGCTCAATTCGTAAAGTCTGTTCCCAGCGTGCAACAGCTGTACAGACCAAGGCATGCACCCAAAGCATGCACTTAGTGTCCTTCGCAATATATCAGTGAATTCAAAGAACCGTAGAAGTTTACAGCGCAAAAGAAGGCCATTAGACTCATTGTGTCTGTGCCAGCTCTTTGAAAGCAATCCATTCACTCCCGTATACCTGTTTTTCCCTATAACCCTGCAAATTATTCCTTTTTACTTATCCATCAAGTTCCCTCTTGAACGTTAATATGGATCCTACCTCGCTCATTGCACCTGGCAGAGCATTCCACCATATCCTAACAACTCTGTGTAAAGAAATTCCTCTTCATCTACACTTTGCTACCTTGTTAACTGTCTTAAATTGATGCCCTGACTGAATATTGGATCGAAAATATGTTCCGTTTTGGGATTATAAATAGCTGTCTGTCGGAGAAAAAGAGCTCAGGACAACCATGCATCATTTTCAAATCAACAATGTTATGTGCGGTGATGCTGTGCCAATGATGTCTTGTACAAATGATACCTTTGCCTTGTATGCTTACAAACATTTGGAAGATCTTGCTAACAGCTCTTCTAAGGTCTCATATCCCTTAAAATACATTCATTATTCTTTACGATTAGTATCAAACCGTTAGCATATTGTCACTGTACCCTCACACATGTATATTGAAAAGACAGATTTTTTTAAAAAAAGTCTTAATAGTTAGTTGTCAATAGACTGCTTTGTCAGGCTACCTGTCAAATGATTTTGCTTCTAGTGACAGACAAGTGTTACATTTCAGAGAATACATGCAATAAAGTTGTCAATTATGGGTAGATTTTTGGAAGATGGCAATTTACCCAGTAATTTATTGTTATCATTTTGCATTTTATTTGAAAAGAAAAACTCATAAATTTTTAAGTTTAATATTTGTTCACGAATAACACCTGAAATCTGGGTGACATGAACCATTTGGGTTGATAAATCACTCTGCGGAAATCATGACATCAGCTCCTAAAGTTTTTTGGCTTTCTGTGAACTTTCTCTGCAGTAAAAGAACTTGTATTTTAAATTAGCAATTCACATTTAATTACATTTCTTCAGCTAAAGCAATAAAATGGCTAAAACAAGGCTACTCCAATTAGAATGCTATTGATTCCGCTCAACTGTTTATTTAAATCTGCAAAATATCCACATGCAAACTAGTCAATCAAGACTAAAACAAAAGTCCAGTTTAAAAGACAGTGAACACAATATGGTAATACCTCCTCAAAAACAAAAAGCAAATATCGCATATGAAATGCTAATAACTTAATTTAATAATTCCAAAATTGGCATGCATAAGAATTCATAAAACCACAATTATCAAATTTGATTTCAAATTCCTTTTTTTCAATATAAAGGTTTGGTGTAAAAATATATGCATTGATATTGTGTCAAAGTTGAAATAAATAAATATATTGCGTCTACCTCTGTGCAATTATGGAAACTGCATTAACAATGGGAACAAAGACTTTCAAAGTGATATTCTATCCATTATAAAGTTAATCTGTCTGTGTGTGCTGCTCACAAGCAGGAATTTTGGATTTTCTTATCCCAGTTGTGCCTTGGAGAGTGATACAATCAGAGGAAATAATGCAGTTTTTCACAACAGGATGCTGGCTGTACTGTGATTGCCTCCAGAGAGTTTATACAAAAGAATAGATACATGGAGGAGCATGTAATTGATTTACTTAATGACTGGGAAGTCAGCTCATCCATGGCCTCGCACGGTAAAGGCTACATTCTAATTCTACATTTGACCATAGAGGTTGCAGGTTTTAATCCAGTCCAGCTTGAGTCAGCTGGGTCAGCAATTGCAGCATTACAACAGCAACTTGCATTTATCTTGCGGCCATCACACGGAGTGGCGTCTCAGATATAGCATTGGGCTTGTCCGTGATGATCCCTATGGACCTGACAGCCCTCATTACAGAGGGCCAAATGTGAACAATGGTTCCTTGGATGGGGGTAATTGAATCATGCCCTAATAAGTAAAAATAAATCACAATCTCCAAGGAGGGAGAAAATAGGCGAGAAAAATAAGCCAAGAAGATGATTGACCGATCATGATCTGCATTCTATGATACTTCTAAGCCTTTCACCACTGTATAATTATTGTAGCTAATTGTGCTTTGGAACTCTTTGGTGGTTTTGCTTTGACGTTCTTTATTTTATGCATAATAATAATAATTCCTATAGCGTAGTGGTTAGCTCACTCGCCTCGCAAACAAAAGGACCTGGGCTTGATTCCTGGGCGGGGCAAAACCTTAGGCAAGTTTCCTTATTCCACACGTTTCTGTTTATGTAGCAGTAAGTAGGAACCCGGTTGTTGAATCGATTGGCGGATCACTTTCTGGGGGTAATAATCCCTCCATAAAAAAATTATAATAATTTGGACACTCAATCCACGACTGTTTCGTCCGCAAAGTACACTTTACAGTATATTCTGTGAAGCGCTTAGAAACGTCTGAAAGACGTGATAAGGCGCTATATCAAATGCAAGGATTATTATTATAATCCTTGCATTTGATAAAGTGCCTTATCACGTCATTGAGACGTTCCAAAGTGCTTCACAGAATATACTGTAAAGTGGATTGACCTTGTATTTTGTGGGTGAAAGGCCGCAGAAAATTGGGCACAGCAGCATCCCACAAACAGCCATAAAGTGACGGCTAAATTAGGTATGGGCCTGTTATGTTTAAACCAACCGTTTCTCTTTACGGAGAATGTAGCTAAACTGAATAAAAACATAGTCAGCAATCTTCAAAATTGAAAGTATCAAAGGCAGGATATGCCGCCGGTTTTAATGACTAACAAACACCCACCATAAAAAAAATGATTTCACAGTTTATGAATGGGTCTGAAATCCCCTGTTGTGTCTGCTATATCTTTACATTGCAACAGAGGGCGCAGGAAATAGACCTGCGGAATGACTGACACAGATTGAGTGCTGCTTTCAGTTCAAAATTGTTTCCCAATTCTAATTTCACAGCATTGAATATCTAGATTGGTTCATATCCTCTTCCCCCCTGAAATGATATATTTAACAATTATCTTTCAAAAACGTACAGAAAGCTTTCTGGTCTTAAAGCTTAATTGTATATTTGTCTGGTTTATTTTTTGAACCCGCTGTTAATCCGTATATTTCATTTTAAAGAATTCTCTGTTCATCCGATCTGCTTTATATTATTAATTCAACATGGTTTGTACTGGCTGCTCGCATTACCATTTGAACTCGACTCTTTTTTTAGCATTATGTACAAAATTTTACATTTTTTTAAAAAAAAGGGTGGATTTCAAATTAGAGGGAGTGGGGGGGTTCATTTTTTAAGAAAATAAAAGAGAAGAAAAAAATGATTTAACGGGTCTCCCGCCTGTCTCTGTCTGTCTATCTGTCTGTGACTGTCTCTGCCTGTCTGTCTCTCTCTCTGCCTGTCTCTGTGTCTGTCTGCCTCACTGTGTCTGTCTGTCTGCCTGTCTGTGTCTCTCTCTGCCTGTCTGTGTGTGTCTATCTCTCTCTGCCTGTCTGTCTCTGCCTGTCTGTGTGTGTATCTCTCTCTGCCTGTCTGTCTGTCTGTGCCTATCTGTGTGTGTGTGTCTCTCTGCCTGTCTGTCTCTCTCTGCCTGTCTGTGTGTCTGTCTCTCTCTGCCTGTCTGTGTGTCTGTCTCTCTCTGCCTGTCTGTGTGTCTGTCTCTCTCTGCCTGTCTGTCTGTCTCTCTGCCTGTCTGTGTGTCTGTCTCTCTCTGCCTGTCTGTGTGTCTGTCTCTCTCTGTCTGTCTGTCTCTCTGTGTGTCTGTCTCTCTGCCTGTCTGTGTGTCTGTCTCTCTGCTGTCTGTCTCTCTGTCTGTGTGGTCTGTCTCTCTGCCTGTCTGTGTGTCTGTCTCTCTCTGTCTGTCTCTCTGTGTGTCTGTCTCTCTCTGTCTGTCTGTCTCTCTGTGTGTCTGTCTCTCTGCCTGTCTGTGTGTCTGTCTCTCTCTGCCTGTCTGTCTCTCTGTCTGTCTATGTGTGTGTCTGTCTCTCTGCCTGTCTGTGTGTCTGTCTCTCTCTGTCTGTCTCTCTGCCTGTCTGTGTGTCTGTCTCTCTGCCTGTCTCTGTCTGTCTGTCTGTGTGTGTGTGTAAGCATTGCAGACAGACCAGCCTCGGGCACTTGTGTTACACATTTTATTTAGTGGGACAGGAATGAAAGGTAGTGATTTAACCTCTCAATGTCAGAGCCACGTGTAGCTTGTGCGGCATTTGATCCATTTGCGGGTCACGACCCTCACCTCCACTCCCCCCTCTCCCTCTCCCCCCCCCCCTCCCCTCTCCCCCTCCCTCTCCCCCCCAACACACACAAAAAAAATAAGAGCCCCGATTTCCGATTAAACGCACAATATCTTTCAACCCCAAAAAGACACGGTGTAAAACAGCAAATCCCCCCCACACTCCGCCCCCTCCCCCGCCCCTCCGGCTGCAGTCGGGCTGCAGATCTGTCAGCAGGAAGTGATGCCGATCGATCAGCCGCCGCGGTCCTGACAGAATCCGGGAAAGGAAAGGGATTGTGGATGAAATAAAGCGCGACTCCCGGAGCCGCGTCTGTGCACAGATCGCGGTGACTCCGTGTGTGTCGGTCAGAGGAGAGTTAACATCACTCCCCCTGACCCCCCCACAGGGACCTCTCCTCTCCTCACAGCCTTCCTTTGGAGCAGTTCCGTTTGCCTTCTTACTCTCTCTCTCTTCATAAAAAATATATATTTATAGTATATATAAGGAACTGTTATTTGCTGTGTGTGGCTGTGGGTGTCAGTGAGTGAGTGAGTGAGTGTCTGTGTAGGTAAAGACACCCATTTTTTAAAAAAAATGTTGGACCCATCGTCTAGTGAGGAGGAATCGGAAGAGATAGTGGAAGAGGAGAGCAAAGAGGTGCAAACCCCGGCCCCGGGAGCACGGCTGTCCCCCAGTAGGACCAGCGAGAGCAGCGGAGGGCTGCAGCCCAGCAGCCGGAGCAGCAGCATCCGACCCTCCAGCCCGAGCCCCTCGGTGGTCAGCGAGAAGGAGAAGGAGGAGATCGAGCGGCTGCAGAAGGAAGAGGACGAGAGGAAGAGAAAGCTGCAGCTCTATGTCTTTGTGATGAGATGCATCGCCTATCCGTTCAACGCCAAACAGCCCACAGACATGGCGAGGCGACAGCAGAAGGTAAACCCGCGGACACACACACACACACACACACAAATCCCGCATTAACCCCCTCCCGCCATCCCACCCACAGACGGTTAAAATGGGGACGCCGTGTCCTCCAGAATGGGTTTATATTAATACTAATAATCCTTGTATTTGATATAAGCGCCTGATCACGTCTTCCAGACGTCTCAAAGCGCTTCACGGAATATCCTGTGAAGTGAATTCATTGTATGTTTTGTGGACGAAAATTGCTTCTGTTTAATATCAGTTGGTGGCAAATAGCAGCGATATGTGTGCGTGTGTTTTATTAACATTGCCTGTGCCCGGGACCCCCGACACCACCAGGAAGGTGATGGCAACCGAACCATCGGGAGGGAGGGGAGAGCTTCATTTTGTGTCTGATCACCGCAGCAGTCAATACAGAGAGCGCGGATGATCGAATGAACAGTTGCCCCCTCACCCCACACACACACCCACCCCCCCCCCCCCCCCCCACACACACACCCCCCCCCCCCCACACCCCCACCCACACACACACACCTTCTCCTCTTCAATACGAAGCCATTCCTAAGCAGCCGAAGGTGACTTCTCTCGGAATCGTGGCGATGGAGCAGAGAAAGCAACTTTTGAGCAGCTATTTTTGTTGTTCTCTCTGGAGCTTTGGTCTCGAGCAATTGTGCTCAAGGCCCCCCTCCCCCCTCCCCTCCCCCCCCCCCAGATCCCATGGATAACTTGCCATGAGAGATAATTGGCCTTTGTTCTCAGCGCTGCTCAGTTTGGCCTCTGGTGAGCGTCTCACACCAGTGAAATGAGTGGAAAGGGCAAACGGCATTTAAGAGGTTATTTGTGGATCTCATCTGTTTCCTTTCCCTGTGAGGGTGTGAGGGGAGAGAACACCGACCTGAAATAAAGCGGATAATCTCACCTGCACTGCCCACAATGATGGGGCGTTATCCCTCTGGAGTGCTGGTCCTCGCCACCAGTGAGCGGCGCTGAGCTGCTGTCTCACTGCTGTAACGCGGCGCGACTGCACTGACTCAACCATCCCATCCCGACCCCAGCGATAGCCGTGACACACACCGGCAAAACTCCAACCAAATGCTTAGACAGCGCTCCTAACAGGAAATTAACACAGTTTTAAGGCTTTGTAGCAAATGCATTTTTTTTTCTTGAAAGTGGGAGCTTTTGTCTTCTTGAAGAGGTCAGTTTTGTGGAATGACTTGATCGAAGCACTCACTGTGTGTGTGTGTGTCTGTGCCTAAGTCTTGGGCCGTTTCTGCTTTACCTTGTGGTCCTGGACTAGAGCATCCTATGGTGGGTATCCTTGTTGGCTTTGTACTGTGTGTGGTGCAGTACTTACCTCTGTTAGAGCAGAATGCGTTTGTTCTGTTCTGGGTTCAGGAAATATACAGTCAATTCACTTTACAGTATATTCTGTGAAGCTCTTTGAGACGTCTTAACAACATGATGAGGCGCTATGTCAAATGCAAATATTATTATTATGGGGTGCAATTTTACTTTTTGTTCAATTTAGTTTTTGACCTTTACTTATCAAATTAAAGAACTGAAACAACTTCTTGTGAATGACACATTCTCATCTTCTTGAACGCTCCACACTTGCACCGTTGGCGTGTTCAGACATTTTTTTGGGGGGTTGTGGGGGGAGTTACTCCACATCATTATTTTGCGAATGCACTTTAAAACAATCAAATTGTTTTTTGTGCTATTTTGAATTCAACTGTAGCAAAACTATTCATTATAAAGCACTCCAGCCTGAGAGTATGAGATCTTAAATTGATGATTTGACATACTTCAGTAAATTTCATGATATGAAGAATGAGGGAGAAAACTATTCACGCCAGACAATTTATTGTTTGTGTAAAACAAAAAATGACATTCCCATAATTTGCAATTTAACAAATCTCAAAAGTCTGTGAAAATACCTAGGTAGAATAATTGAACACCAGTTAATCTAAATTAAATTCACAATGAAATGTGATTGATTAAGAAAACAAATCTAATCTATTGCCCACTTTCGCTTGTCTTTCTGAGAATTTCTAATATTTGAATATCCTGATAAAGCATATTGAAAGTAAAATCAAAGATTTTATAGGTCCACAATCTATTGTAATCATTTATCATGGTTATTATTGCTATAGAATTCATCAAGCAGATGTAAGAGATAGATTTCAGATTAGATTACTGTTTATCCTATAAAAAACTGCCTGTGAAGAAGTTTGGCTTTTTATACACAGCTATGCAGCAGGCAGGACAATTTAATTTGCAATGGAAATAAAATTCTTGTATACATCAGCATTATTCTAATTAACTAGTACAGTACTTGTACTAGTTAATCTTATAACAGATCTCACTTCCTGTAGGAAAAGATTCTAGTCTAAACTGTCCCCATGATTTAATAGATTTTCTGATTTGCGGAATGCCATTGGAGATCTTTAACATTAGCAGCAATGACAGAAACAGGCTTTTAATTTCATTACTTGATTCATGTGACAAGTGTTGAAGGTCACTCCTCATTGAAGGTTGTTAATGGTCACAGATCAAATGTCTAACAGCATAAACCTGGCCCAATTTTGTCATCGGAGACTGGATCCAAGTTTGAATGCTTCCAGACCTGGACCTCCAGAGATGAGAACATGATTACAAGGTTAAATGTGTGAAGCTCAATGCTGGAGCTCCTGGAGAGTTCAACATCAATCTAGACTTCTACATTACAATATAAAATGTTCAGCAGGTAGAATTTTACTGGGAATGAACTGGAGATATACTGGTAAACTTTCAATGGTGAAATTGCATTTGTTAATTTGGAGTGTAAATGCTGTCAGTTTTTGTAGGGCCACGAGCCAAGTAATACCCCACCCCACCTCCATAAACATGTATAAAATTAACTAATGTAAGCAATTCTGTGCCAGAAAATACAGAACTTATCTGAGGGTTGTTGAGTATTTGTATTTAACAGTCATTAAATATAATTGCTACCGGCAGATTTTCAAAAGAGTTCTGGTGCTAAATGCTGGAAGCAATAGTTAATGCCATAGAAGAGGAATAGAGTAAGTTGGACAGCTCATTGGCCATACGCCTATATTACTTCTACTAATAATAATCCTTACATTTGATGTAGCACCTTATGATGGCATTGAGACATCTCAAAGCACTTCACAGAATATATTTTGTATATATTGTAGATTGACTGTGTATTTTGGGGGCAAAAATGTTACCTTTGTTCCCATTTAAGATGCCAGGAGAGATGCATTCAGATTCTTCTGGGAAAATTTGGAATCCTGTCCACAACAAGTGATATTCCCAACTGCATGAAATCATGGAATATTAAAGCATAGAAACAGGCTTCTTGGCCATTAATCTTTTCCCCCATGCATTGAAATTAAAATTGGAGGGGTGGGGGAAGAGAGGGCAGAAATACTTTTTTTTCACTCCTACTTTCCAATGAAAACTGATCTGTTGCTGCCCCGAAATCTTTGGGTGGAAGTATTAAGTATTGTAATAAGACTGTTTGTGACCAGTGCAGTATGTCAGCAGCACTATTATCAGCAGTAATCCATGATTAATATTGAAAACAAAATCTAAGCAGATACTCAAAACAATTGACAGGTGCTAGCCAGGGATTTTGAGGCATTAATCTCATTTTGGGGTTCAGGGGTTTGGTATTTTCAGCTTCGCAGTTGGGGTTTATGATTTTATTTAAGTTCCTGGATTCTATTATTTCTTGCTACCACTCTCGGTGACTCATTATTGCCTACAACTACACATTCACTACACGTAGCAGCAAAATGTAGCACTTTGAGATGTCTAGATGGTATGATGAGGCTCAGTATTAAATGCAAAGATTATTATTTCATCTAATGAAATATACATATTTTCACATTATTATGACCAGCACAATATATTTTATAACCCATCTATACGATTTGGCCAGTAGCCAAATGTGTCTTTTTATTTCTGGTATTATTTCACTCTTTTGCTCATTCTGCTTCCTTATTTCGCCTTAGCCCTATATATACATATTCCAGCAGTTCCTATTAAGCAGCTATTCAGAGCCCTAGCATCAAGAAGAGATATTGTAGGGACAATATTGGCCCAGCATCTTCTTTTTATTAGTCTGATTCATTGGCTGCCTCCACTCCCCCACGCTTGGGAGAAAAATAACAAAAGATTGTTTTGAATCAACTTATTGTAAAATATGGCTTATTGATTTACAGTTACATGTGGTGCACAAATGAGATGCACATACATAACATGAAAGCAGTGGTTTACTAAATAATAAAGCTCTTTAAAATCCAACTAAGTAATGTAAACGTTGATCAGGTAATGTGGTGGGTTGTTTCCTGAGGTCACGCTCCAGTTATTTTTGGCAATTGCAATTTGCATCCTCTATATAAAAAAATGTTTTTACTAAAGCATTTAATTTGGTTATTTTTTTCCTCCTCTTACCTAGTAGTGCTGCTTTTCCAGATGAGAGTACCAATTTATAGCTTAGGTTCTCTGTAATCACTGCAGACCAATACTTATCCAAGGTGACCCTCTCCAACAACATTAGAGTATTTGGCTAAGCAGGGGTTCAGTCCCTCAGCCACAGACAAACTGACTGCAAAAGGCCAAAGTGGATATAATGTACAAAATTGATTCGTGTGGCATTTTGAAACTTTACACATTTAAACCACAGGTACATTAAATAACAGCACATATTCATAATTTGTGTATTGAATAATCCTTTTAAAATACCACCATGTAATGTAACAGCTGAGGAGGTAAATCCATACATTGAAAAGTGTGCCTGAAATCTCAGCAAAGTATAGGTCTGCAGTGATTACAGAAAATCTAAGCTATAAAAATTTATACCCTCATCTGGAAAAGCAGCTCTACTAGATAGAAAGAGTAACTGTTAGCATGATCACACTATTTACAAGCCTGGATTAAGCAAAACTATGCTTGAAAACTTTAGGCTGTCTTCTATGACATTTAAATCTGACAAAAGTGCA